CAGGGGGCAGCCCCGGGGGCGGTGGGGGGCGGCGCGCAGGCCCCAGCGTGAGCCCCAGCGTGAGCCCGCTCCCCTCCGCAGGTCATCCCCAACTACTCCTCCAGGGCGGAGTACGAGAAGCTGTTCGCCTTGGGCGTCACCATGTAAGTGGCCATCTCAGGTACCCACGCCTCTCCGACGGCCGCTTTGTAGTGGTGGCCAACGCCAGGCTAGCTGGAGCCCCGAGACGCCGCCGCACCCTCACAGTGGTTGTCCACAAAGCTCTGAGGAAACTGCGGGCCCGGCGGTGGGCATGTTGTGAGGTGCTGGGTTGCCACATGGCTGCTGTTCGAGTCCCGGACCTGGCAACTTGAACATCATGCCAGGCATACGTGTGTGCTCCAAATCCCAGGAGGACGATGGAGAAAGGACCGCAGTGTGGCCACCCCGGGGCGATTCCTCACTTCCCCTCCCTCTCTCTCTGGCAAGCGCATGCGTCCTATGGCAAAGACCTTTTTAAAAAGAAAAGAAACAACTATGCCTGTATTTCAAACACTTCTTCACTGAAGTAAACTTGTCCTTTAACTGTACCTTCCACGGACTTTTGGAAGGCCCCGTCTGTACCTCAGTGGTCACACACTTGACCAAGAGCATGAACGCTTTGGGATCCGCCTTTTTCCATGTTTCGTTACGAACATGTTAAACATGCCGAAAGCTGACAGTGTGCAGGGAGCCACAGGCCCCCCGTGACGCGCTGCTGCTGGGCCCCGCACGTCCCGCCCGTCCCTCTACCGCCGTCTCCAGCTGGAGTCTTTGTCGTGGTGGTGGTTGGTGCCGTCACATTTAACCTTGCCGAAGCCCACGCACGCGCTAGGCGGAGACAGAGGAGGAGAGGGGGTGAGAAGGCCCGCCCTGCCCCGCCCCACAGTGGATGTGCCCCTGCTCCCTGACTTCCTCCTTCCAGGATTTGGGGCATCACACACCCATGCCTGCTGTACTGCTCCAAGCTGCAGGTCCGAGGCTCGCGCGGTGCAGTGGGCCGGCTCCGCTGCGCATGGTGGCCTCCCGCGGGCGCCGTGGGCGGCTCGATCCGGCATGTGGCTGGCTGCTCCGAGCGGGCTTACGGCCTGTTTCCCCAAGTGCGGTTTGTGTGTCACGAGGTGCGCCCCGCCCAGCGGACACAGAGCCACCACAGGCGCCTCAGGGGCCCAGACTGCTGCCTGGGACCAGCCCGTGGCCTGTGTGGAGGCACAGCCGGCTCCCGCCTGCCAGGGTCCTCCCAGTGCTTCCCACGTGTGTGGGCTTGCCCTGCGGAGCCGGAGCACACGGCCCTGTCAGCCTCACCTGCGAAGCTGTGTGTTCTGAATGTCTTCGGGGCAGACTGGGGTCCACGCCCCGTGGGGGCTGTGCCGAAACCCACCCACCCTCAGCCACCCGCCCTCCCGTGTCAGGTACGGTCAGATGACAGCGGGCAGTTACTGCTACATCGGCCCCCAGGGCATCGTCCACGGCACGGTGGTGAGTGGGGTGCTGGCCATGGCGGGGGGCTGGGCAGGAGCGGGGCCACGGGGACCAGGCTGCAGCACCCCGCCAGTGCCCGCCCCTCTCGCCGCAGCTCACCATACTGAACGCCGGGCGTCGGTACCTGGGTGTCGAGGACTTGGCCGGGAAGGTCTTCGTCACCTCCGGGCTTGGCGGGATGAGCGGGGCTCAGGCCAAGGCTGCGGTCATCGTGGGCTGCATTGGTGTGATTGCAGAGGTGAGTGGTGGGGCTTGGCTGTCGTCCCACCTCCTGGCCTCCCCACAGAGCATGGCCCTACCTCTCTGGGCTTGCAGGGCCGCACCCCTCCTGCCTTCGGGGGCGTCCTGCGGGCACTGCCTCCCTGTTCCCCGGTCCCTGGGGCACTCCCTGCGGGCGGAGAACACAGGCCACGGCCCGCACAGCCCCGGTGACCCCGTGCCCCGTGCTCGCAGGTGGACAAAGCGGCTCTTGACAAGCGCCACAGGCAGGGCTGGCTGATGGAGGTGACAGACAGCCTGGACAGCTGCATCCAGCGGCTCAGGTACGCCCGTGGCCCCAGCAGTGGCACCGCGTCCCCGCTGAGGGCTGCCTAGGGCGCGGGGGCCTGCCGGGCCGTGCTCGGCCACTCCTCTCGGGGCTCTGCGTGGGGGTGGAGTCCCTCCTGGCGAGGCCTGTCCCCCGTGAGGCTCTTCCTGTGGATGAGTGAAGGTGAGCTAGAACACGGGGAGCGTCGGTGTGCCCAGGGCCACAGTGGCTGTGTCCACGCAGCTCCTGGGGTACACGGGGCCTTGCCTGATCCACTCCTGCCCCGTTCTGGCTTTCCAGCGTCCTAGGTGCCTGGGTGGGCATGCACATATAGTCACTCACGCACACGTATATACCCACATACACCCATGCACACGCAATACACACAAGCACACAACATACATGTACACGCACATATCCATGCACACAGACACACAGCACACATGCATGTGCACACACGTGCCCACACACATGCACGCACACACAGCACAAGGAACACACATGTACGCGCATACGCATGCACAGAGACGCATAGCACACACATGTGCACACACGTGCACAACTGATGCGCAACACACATGTACACACGCAGACACATGTACATATACGCACATACCATCTGCGCACACACACACACACACACACACACAGGTGTGCACACCTCAGACCCATTTCATCCTGGCAGCCCTGAGGCTGAGCTGGGCACTCCAGGTGGGCGTGGAGCTGCCTCCCTGCAGTCCCTGCAGGCCCTCTCCATAGCCAGGGGTGCCTCCTGGCTCCTGAGGCCTGTGTCCTGTGGCTTCATCGACCTGCCAGCTTCTCTGCCAAGCCCCCCTGGCCTGCTGTGGTGTCCCCTCTGGCCGCCAGCCCCACCCCTGCTGTTACTCACCCAGGTGGCCTGTTCTTGGATACACTTCGGTTTTTCTTATTCTCTGGTTTCTCCTCTCATCCTGTTTTCCACTTAACATTTTTTCTTTATGAGACAGAGGAAAAGGAAGAGGGAGGGAGGGAGGGGGCCAG